CGCCGGTGGCTCACACCTGTAATCCTAGCTACTCAGGAGGCTGAGATCTGAGGATCACAGTTCAAAGCCAGCCCGGGCAGGAAAGTCCGTGAGACTCTTATCTCCAATAAACCACAAGAAAACCGGAAGTGGCACTGTGATAGAGCACTCGCCTTGAACTGAAGATTGCAGGGACAGTGCCCAAGCCTAGAATTCAAGTCCCACAAATGACCAAAAAAAACAAAAAACATACAAACCTTAATCTGCATAGGTCTTGTTTTTTTGTTTTTTCCACTGTCCTGGTATTTACAGAACGAGGGCTCCTGGTGGAAATAAATGCTTACACAACTATTAATTGACATTTCTCTTGCAACTGGTGAAATTGACCCCCTACGTCACATATCTTGGTGTTCTTTCCTGAAGACATCATTCTTCCTGGTAATAATGAGAAGCAAATGTCTTTGGCTGCTAAAGAGTTTGAGATGCAGTTCAGGGGAAAGAGAAGAACATAGTTACCAAAACACGTAAAACAGAGCAAAATTGTTTGGCTAGAAAGAACAGCAGGTTTGAATCTGATAATCTTGAATCTGATAATCTCCAAAACTGTGAAATGGAAGAAGCTTTGGTCCCCAGGAAAGAGAATCAAGCTGGTTGGGTCTTCCAGAGAAGGGTGAATCGTGTTTGTCCTCAGGAGCCATTTTCTTTCCCTTCCTCTGTTACTGCTCACAAGGAGTTGTCTTTATTTTATTTTATTTTTGGTCCGGTGGTAAGGCCTGAACTCTGGGCCTGGGCGCTGTCCCTCAGCTCTTCAGCTCAAAACTAGTGCTCTACCACTTGAGCCACAGTGCCACTTCCGGATTTTTTCTTTTTGCTTATGTGGTGCTGAGGAATCAAACCCAGGGCCTCATGCATGCAAGGCAAGCGCTCTACCACTGAGCCAACTTCCCAGCCCCCATCCACTACTTTTATTGCTCTGGTGTTCTGTGACAATATTGCTATGAACCCAAGCTGAAATTCATGATCCTTCTCCCTCAGCCTTCCTAGTGCTAGGATTACAGTTATATGCCACTTGATGTAGTGTGGCCACTTTATTTTAATTGCAACTAAAAGATAATCAAAAGGAGATAAGGAGCAGAATGCCAGTGGCTCACACCTGCAATCCTAGCTGTTCAAGAGGCTGAGATATGAAGATTAAAGTTCAAGGCCAGCCTGAGCAAGAAAGTGTATGAGACTCTTATCTCCAATTAATCACTAAAAAGCTGGAAGTGGAGGAGTGTAGTAGAGCACCATCCTTGAGCAAAAACAGCTGAATGAGAATGTACAGGCCCTGAGTTAAAGCCCCAATACCATCAAAAAAAGAAGAAAGAAGATGGAGGAGGAAGAAGAAGAAAGAAGAGAAGTAGTAGTTCAGTGAGAAAAGAAATGAGAAAAGCTTAAAGGAAATAAAGTTAGAAGGAGGCTGGAAGGGTGTGGGATGTGTGCAGATGAAGAAGCAGCCACAAAGACATCCAGGTGAAGAGAACAGCAAGTTCAAAGGCCCAGATGTCAGGACAAGTCTGGCAGGTTAGAGGAAGAGCCTGGGTTGGGATGACTTTTACTGAGGGAGGGAGAGGGAAAAAGGATGAGGAGAGGGAGATGGTCACTGAGGAAAGGAGTAGCAGCCACAGAACCTGTTTTTATCTGAAACCAACTCAGCTTGGTTTTAGAAAGTGCTTTGAGACCAAGATATTAAGTGCTGTAGGACCAGACTGGCTATCCATTAGCCATAGGCAGCCCCCCTCTTCCCTCTCCATCCAAAGGAGTGAGTGCTTTATTCCTCATCTACCCCAGTCCCCGTTGTAGCCTTCCAGTAGCAGAAAGAGGAGAGCAAATGTATAGACTGCCCTGGCTCATCGCACCTGTCCTTGTATGTATGAGGGGGTTTCTGAATGAAGTACTGCTTGCCACCTGCCTATTTCACTAGTGGCTGCCACAGGGAAAAGTGGATCATTCATGAGAATCCAAGGATGACCCACCTGATCCAGATGAAACTGCATTTTGCCTACTGAAAGCCACCCTCAGCTGAGCACGGAGACAAAGTGCAGGCAGGTGCCAGGGTGGGCTCAGAGAGCCTAGTCTTCAGGACTGGAGTGGCCATTCTCTCCTCACATCGCATGCACCACCCCCCCCCCCAGCAGCAGCCATGTCCTCAAGAGCCCGCTGTGTCCTCAGCAGGCCTGCCTGCTGCAGTCACATGCAGCAGTTACTGCAGTGCACTCAGAAGAGAACAGGGAAGGCATTTCCAATCTCTGCTTAGAGGATGAACAGGGAAGGTGCCTGGCTTCTTACAGTCTTTCTTACAGTCTTCTTACATGGATCACAGAGACCCAAGAACAATTGTTCTTGTTTCAGTTTGCAGAGTCATTCACCATCCAGAGCTTGTCATATGCTCACAGCCATCATGTACAACAAGGAATTGTCCTCCTTTGATGGCATTTGGCTCTTGGTGTCCTGTGTCCTGGCAAAGACCCTGCCCAGCAACTTAGAAGACCCTCTAGGACATGCTATGGGCATTTGGTGGCTTGCTGGAACTTGTTCCTAACCCCAAGTGAGCCTTAAAGCAAAAGACTTTCATGCAGAGGTTGCAAACTTGAGTGCTTACCTGCACACATGAACCTCAGCATGTGGGTTGCCTGAACCCCACTGACTTTTCAAAGGCTGCCTCTCATGTCCCCTCAGCTATCCTCTGCCTGCCTGAGAGGGGTGCATAGCCTAAGGTAGATGCCCCCGTGGGCATGCACACCTCATGTTGAGTAACAAAAATATACAGTCACCTCCACTCTTGCCCCAAGAGTCAGGATATAGGGTCTGATGGCTTTTCAGTAAACATAACCCTTCCAGATCTTTACTAATTACCATATTTTGCCAACACAAACAGACTTTTTGTGTGTGTGCCAGTCCTGGGGGCATGGCCTCAGGGCTTGGGCACTGTCCCAGAGCTTTTGTGCTTAAGGCTAGTGCTCTATCATGTAAGCCATAGACACTCAGGCATTTTGGGGTTTTTGCAATTAATTAGAGATAAAGAGTTATGGACTTTGCTGCCTGGGCTGGCTTTGATCCTCAGTCTTCAGCTCTCAGCCCTCCTGAGTAGCTAGGAGTATAAACATGAACAACTGGTACCTGGTGTTCTTATTGGATTCTTGCTCATAGATATTTGACACACAAGTTGACTTATAACTGACAATTCTGCCTCTGCTTCTCAGATGCTAGGACTATGAGTATGTACCATATCTCCAAGCACTATATGGAGATATATTTTTTTTGGGGGGAGGGTCATTTGTAGGGCTTGAAGTCTTGGCCTAGCCACTGTCACTGAGCTCTCTAGCTCAAAACAAGCACTCTACCACTGGAGCCACAGCACCACTTCTGGTTTTCTGGTTGTTATTGGAGATAAGAGTGGCAGGGACTTTCCTTGCCTGGGCTGGCTTTGAACCACAATCCTCAGATCTCAGCCTCCTGACTAGCTATGATTACAGGCATGAGCCACTGGCACCTGGCATATATGGTTATTTTTTTTCATTTTATTTATTTTTGATCAGTCTTGGGCCATTGTCCCTGAGCTTTTTTTACTCAAGGCTAGCACTCTACCACTTGAGCCACAGCACCACTTCTGGCTTTTTCTGTGTATGTGGTACTAAGGAATCCAACCCAGGGCTTCTGCATGCTAGGCAAGCACTCTAGCACTGAGCCACATTCCCAGCCTATATGGATATTTTTTTTAAGTTATGTACCTTGCAGTACTCACTTTAGTACTCGAAGACCCCTTCCTTGGTTAAACATTTGTATATGGATGGTCAGTTGTTTCTAATTTCCAATGAGTCTCAAATATAACTTTGCAGATTGAAGTGTTTCCATACAGCAAATCTTAGGAGACCCAGAATTCTAGATCAAAAAGGTATGAATATTTTAAATGTTTGGGGTTTTTGTTTATTTGTTTGCTCAATGCTAGCGCTCTTCCACTTGATCCATATTTTTACTTTTGTTTGTTTGTTGCTTGGTTGGCTAGTTGGTAGTTTATTGGAGATAAGAGTTTCACAGACTTTGAGATTGCTTCAAACCATAATCTCAGCCTCTTAAATAGCTAGGGTGTAAGCCATTGGTGCTTGGCAACCATCTTAAATGTTAATACCAAAATATTCCCCCCAAAATTTGACACAGACCTACTTTCTTCCAACATCAGTTGACATTGCTTTCATACCTCTGAAATAAAAATTCAGGCACCTTAACAAAGGGTCTATACCATTCTCTAGATAATTTAAAAGTAGGTAATGCTGGAGGCTGGAGTTTTCTATGCATCAGAACTACTGGTACAGACACCTTGTTGTTATGCAAAGTGCCTACATTCAGCTCAGCACTAGCTAGCAGCTTCCAGGTAGAGAGGTAGCTTCCAGGAGAGAGTCAGAGAGAGAGAGAGAGAGAGAGAGATCCTATGCTTCCACCGATGTGTTTAAAAGGGCTTTTTGCCAGAACTGAAACTCTGCCAGATATTGCCAATGTCAGGCAATATCTTGTCGTGTGATCAGAGGGTCCCTAGGCTAGTGACCATATTTCCCAAACCAGACTCAGAACAAAGGGTCTGATGGCTTCTCAGGTTCAACTTGCAAGCCCCAGTGTGAATAGTGGTTGTAGCTCATCACTGTATGTAGTAATCATGAGTGTAGTTAACACTCCAGAGAGCTTCATATTCTTCACACGGTACTTGTGAGGTAGGTATTATTACCCTGTTTTACAGATGGGAAAACTGAGGCACACAAGAAGCTAATTACTTGCCCAATTGCATAGCTAGTAAGAAGTCGCCAAACCACTATTTGGACCCAGGCAGTCTGGCTCCGAAGGCTGCTCCTGTAACCCCTGGGCTTTGCGGCTGTCCAATAGACACTCCACTTGTCTTACATCTGAACCCAACCTCAAGACACTGGAATCTGGGATTTCACCTGTGGCTTCACGTGTGCTGCAGTTCCCCAGCCTACCAGCTACTATACTTCAGTGGCTTATCTTCTTTCATGGGATAACTAAGATATTAGACATCTAAGACTTTGCCCCCTTCTTGGGTACAAAGGGAACAGAGAGCCATGTCCCAGGCATACAACCTAGGAAATATAGTCAGTCTTCTCATAAACTCCATCCAGAAACCCCTTTGTGAAGGTTGGCATTGTTGTGACTGTCATCTTGGGTAGACAGAATTTCAGTTCTAAGATTTCCTTTTCAGAATAACAGAGATGTAGCTCAAGTGGTAGAACACCTGCCTGGGCAATGTGAGACCCTGAGTTCAAGCCCCAGCGTCACACAGAGAGGGGAGGCAGGAAGAGAGACGGAGAGAGAGAAAGAGAGAGAGGTAAGTTCTTGCACATAGCAAATCAGAAAGCATGGAGGGGAGGTGGGAGTGCAAGAGAATGAGAAACTTCTCCCCCTACTCATAGTTGCTAATATGCACAGTCTTGTGCACAATTGGCTGGCCCTAAACAGAATTGTTTCAAGAGAGGCCGTGGGAAGCAGCTCTCTGTTGGGAAACTAGAAAAGTGACTGGGCCTCTAAGTGCTTTATTAATAATGATGTAAGATTTCATCTTCACTGTCTGCCTTAATAGCTGCAGCCAGTTCAGAACCATGCCTGGGGAGGGCTTTTGTTCTGAGCAGCCCAAGTTGTCACATGCACAGGTGGCCACCTGGTTCTGGCCACCCTGCCCTGCATTTCCCCAGTGTGGTGGGAGGCCCCTCCCCAGGCATGCACCTTGACTGGAGCACTCACCACTTCCAGACCTTCAGCCTATGGTGACTACATGAATGCTACTTTCAGGGGCCTTAAAAGTAGGCTCTTTTCACTAGGAGGGAAGAATGGTGTGTTGATGCTTCAAAGCTAGGGTACAAAGGACTCTCTCCCCACCAAAGTGTGAAGAACAAGGCTTTTGATCAGACATGCTCACATTTTTCCATGGCCAAGATGAAGCCTACTGAGTCCTGGGGACTCCACTCCCCAACATAGAGCAGCTCAGACCCTTACAAGTTTCTAGAAACCACCTTTCCCCATCCTTTGGACTGGGAAAGCCCCCCAAAATGCAGACAATCTGTGATTTAGCAACAAAGGTGAATCTGCCAGGAAGAGCTGGTTGGGCAAGTCCCCAAGTTCTCCTGGGAGAAAAGCAGGCAATCTTTGCCAGTGAAAAGATTGCTAGAGGGGCTGGGAAGGTGGCTCAGTGGTAGAGCGCTTGCCTTGCATGCTTGAGGCCCTGGCTTGGATTCCTCAGCACCACATAAGCAAAAAGAAAAAAGTCGGAAGTGGCGCTGTGGCTCAAGTGGTAGAGCACTAGCCTTGAGCTGAAGAGCTGAGGGACAGCGCCCAGGCCCAGAGTTCAGGCCCC